CTCCTTGTTTGTCCTCCTGGCCAGGAAATGGGGCCTCTCCCAGTGGTTTTTTCCCATGTCTGGGGCTCGGGACACGCTCCCCCCCCCCCCAGCCAGGAAAAAACAGGAGCCCAGCCTGGGAAGGAGGGAGGGGACAGACACCAGAGCCACCGAAGGCACCACGGTTTAATCCCGGCACGGGGAGCCCGGTGCTCCCTGCCCGCGGCCCCCGGCGCGGCGAGGGGGGACCCCCGGGCGCATCCCTCACTTCCCCACGCAGAAATCCCTGAAGATGATGTCCAGGACGTCCTCGGCGCCCACGTGGCCGGTGATCCGGCCCAGCTCCCGCCGCGCCAGCCGCAGCTGCTCGGCCGCCAGCGCCAGGTCCCGCGGGCGCTCCCGCCCGAACCGCGCCAGCGCCGCCGCGCAGCCCCCCAGGTGCCGGCTGTGCCGGCTCTGGGTCAGGCTGGGAGAGCCGCACAGGGGGTCCCCGCACCTGGGAAAGGGCGAGAAGCCAGCCTGGAGCACCCCCGGAGCCGGGACGGGTGTTGGTGGCCCCGCCGCGCCCGCGCCGAGCACTCACAGCCGCGCCAGCTCCCGCGCCAGCAGCTCCAGGAGTCGGTCGAGCCCCTCGCCCGTCTTGCAGGAGAGGAGGGTGGTGGGGGGTAGGGGGGGTCTCTGGGCGCAGCCGTGGCGCAGGGGACCCCCGTCCCCCCGCAGCAGGTCGGCTTTGTTGAGCACCAGGACGCAGGGGGTGCCGGGGGGGGCCTGCAGGGCTCCCAGCGCAGCCCCCAGCCCCGCCGGCTCAGGGGGCACCGCGCTGGCATCCAGCACGGCCAGCACCAGGTCGGCCTGGCACAGCCTGGGGGGGACACGGGGTAAGGCAGGGGGCCACCAACCGCCCCCTCCCAGCCGGCCCATGGTGGTCAGTGACCCCCCCAGTGCAGCCCCCCCTCGGCCTCACCGGTCCCGCGCGCGGGCGACCCCCTCCCGCTCCACCAGGTCGGTGGTCTCGCGCAGCCCGGCCGTGTCACTGAGCACCAGCGGGTACCCCCCGATGTCCAGGGCCACCTCCACCACGTCCCGCGTCGTCCCTGCCACCGGTGACACGATGGCGGCCGGGCGCTGGCCTGGGGGGGGACGGACACACGGAACGCGGGGGGTGATTCCCGGCGGAATCTGGGGAGCCCCTTCCCGGCCGGGAGCGGCCCCCCCGCCCCCAGCCCGTGCCCCCCTCACTCACACAGCAGGTTGAGGAGGCTGCTCTTGCCCACGTTGGGGGGCCCGGCGATGACGGCGCGGACCCCCCCCCGCAGCAGCTCCCCCCGGCGCCCGTCCCGCAGGTGGGCCCCGATCTCCCGCTCCAGCGCCCGCACGGCACCGTCCACTGCGGGCACAGGGGACGTGGCAGGGGGGGGACAGCGGGGACAGGGTGTCCCAGCACCCCCCCAACCACTGCAGGCACAGGGGACGTGGCAGGGGGGGANCAACATGTACCCCTGAGCTTGGCTGGAATTCCGCCGGCCCTGAGCGCCGGCACAACTCGCCGCACGTGTGGTTGGATTCTCCGCGGAGGGCGCCGAGGCCACGGCCGGGATGGGGAGCGGGAACATCCAGTCCCGGCTTCACGCGGGGTCCCTGTGGGGTGGGAAGTGCCGGAGGGCAAGGGGCGGGGGCGTCCTTGGCCGCCGAGCCCCCTCGGAGCGCGGTGATTAATCACCGCCCGTCACTCCGGGATTTACGGCCGCGCTTCCCGCTCCTTCCTGTGGAAAGAGCTTTTCCTGCCTCGCCGGGCTGCCCGCACGCCAGGCAAGCCCTGCCAGCACCTCGGCGGCACGTAGGGCTCCCGCTCGGCCCCCATCCCCTTCCCGACCCCTCTCCCATCCCCAGGTCACATCCGTGTCCCCCAGGTCCCACTTGGGCCCCCCCAGCCACATCCATCCCGGGATAACGGCGGCCACGTGCTCCTGCTGCCCCCCCCACCCCCGGGAGGGGGATGTCACCGGGTGCCCCCATCCCTGCCCAGCCCTTGGAAGTGCCGGTGCCAGGGTGGGATGGGAGCAGGGTCACAGAGGGGGTCCCTTGCTGTCCCAGCTGCCCCCCCACGGCTCGGCCGGGGGTCCGGGGGGACCCTCTCACTGCCAGAGGATTTCCTGGAGCTTCACTATAAATAATCTCAGAGCCCCAGATGCTTCCAGAGCCTGGGAGCTCCAGCTGGGGGGTGGGAGAGTGAGGGGTCCCCATGGAGCACCCACCTTTGGGGTGGCAGAGCCCACAGCTGCCAAGTGGGTGCAAGGGCTGGGGGTGATCCCACATCTCCCGTGGCTTGGGCTTTATCCCATGGCTTGGGGTTGTATCCCGGGGGTCCCAAGCCCCCCCCCCACTGCATCCCTGGGGCTGGGAGTGCACTTGGGGCACAGGGATGGACCCACCCGGATGCTGAGCCCCTCACATGCCATGGTGGGGAGGGGGACACCCCAAGGGGGACGCCCGGGGTGGCTTTTCCCTTCCAGCCGCTCCAGCTCCTTGTTTGTCCTCCTGGCCAGGAAACGGGGCCTCTCCCAGCGGTTTTTTCCCATGTCTGGGGCTCGGGACACACTCCCCCCCGAGCCAGGAAAAC